GCTTAGCATTAAGCCTAGCATCACGGTAGCCAGTCAATAAATATTGGACTGGAATCAGGAACTTATGCACCATGGGCCCCCGTCTTCCCAAGACCATCAGACCCTGGCACAATGCGATGACTTTTTGCCCCCCCTTACGCAAGGGCAGAAAAGGGCTTCTGAGCTGACCCCTGAGCAGTTGGCCCCCACATGCTGGCAGGGGCCCTCACAACACAGGTTTGGTCACCTCTCCCCTTTCCCGGACACGCGAGGCAAGCAAAGTCTTTGGTGCCCTGTACGCGTTCCTGCTCACTGGCAGAAGTGACAACTTCACAGAAAAGTGGAGACCTCGCGCACAACACACGCAAACAACACCTTTTTTCCTCACATCTGGACTTTTCTAAACCTCGACTGCAAAGGAACTACATTTATTTTTACAACATTCACATCAAGGATCTACGTTTCTGGGGAAAAGAAAGACAAACAAATGACAAAAGGACATTTTCTTGGTCTGTGTTGATTGTCCTGTCCACACTTTTGCTGCTTCAGTGCCCAAACATTCTTTGGGCTGAATTAATTTTTAGAAGCTGGCCTTCTTTGCCTTCAGGGGGAGTGAAAATTCCATGAAACATACAGTTTTGATGCATTGCAGGAAGAATGGGACCAAAAAGCAGGATTTTTGAAAAGTTTTTTTTTCCTTATATGAAAAGTAGGAATTTTTTGAAAGGGGAAAAAAGACATAGTGCGCCACTAATTCTTTATTCTGATCAGGATGCGTTCTGTTTCTACATAAACATGCGAGAAACAGACAAACAGGAAGAGCGTCCCAGTAGGCCACATCCATCAATTCATCACAGCATGGAAACAAGAAAAGAAGCCAGTGAGTCTAGAAATCACCTCTGGAGACTTGGGCCACGGGTAGCATGAAAACTTTGAATACGTTCTCACAGGATTTAATTATTCTCATAGAAGAAAAAAATAAACTTTTTCCAGAAAAAGGAGCAAGGATAGGCTTTGGATTCATAATTTTAGGTTTAGTGACTCGAAATTCCTTCAGAGGCCTGAAGCGCTGACTGCGTGTTGGCCTGACAAGTGTCTAACCAAAACTAAACAAAAGGTGAGTTTTTTTGGATTTTTCGTGGGTGGGTTGATCCATGCAAGATCTAGGGGCCTGATCTAAGTGAGGGGCTTGTTGCCAAGAATGAAAAATATTTATTTTTTTTCGTTCTTTCAGCCCAATGGCAGGTGAACTCGTTGACTACTCTTCACAAATGAGTTTTAATAGCAAGACGTGAAAGTTCATGCCACCCACGAGCAGTTTACCAGAGGTTTAAAGGTTTTTAATGGAATATGTGTAATCTATTGGCTCTGGCCTTCATGGTTTGTATTTTTCGAAATACATAATAGGGGAAACATGTGGCTTGGGACAGGAGAAACCAATTGTTGAATTCTTAGCTCTAACATTTACAAGCTGCGGTGACCATGGAAAATATTAGCTGTGCGTCTCAGTTTTTCTCATTTGTAAAAGTTAAGGAACAACTACTCACCACCTCAAAAGCTTATTAGAGACAATAAAAAAAATCAATGCATGGTGAATGGCCTGTTGGGGAAACAACACAGGTTCAATAACGTGGGATTCCCTTACCTTCACTTATGAAGGTACCAGAGTCAATGGATTATCTTTCAGTATTTACTAAATGCCAGGAACTTGTTCGGTTTAGGGTAGTTTGAAATACTGTAAGTTAGTTAAAACAAGACAAAGGGGCCTACATTTTAGTGAGTTACAGGAGACAAATAGATAATAAACATTTAAAGACGTATTTATCAGTTTCTAGAAGATATTACAGGAGAAAATAAGACAGGGTGCTGGTGGACTGAATGCTTTTTTTGTGTTACCCTAAATTCATTCATATGCTCGAATCCTAATCCATGTGATGGTATTGGGGGTGGAGTCTTTTGGAAGTTCTGGAAGGCAGGGGAGGCTTACTCCTGATCTTCTCTGTTCTTCTTGTCCTGGGGTGGAGGAACAGTAGAAAGACAGGAGACAAGGGAAGATGCATTCTGCAAACCAGGAGCAGGCCTCACAGCAAGTGATTTGGCCCAGCCTTGATCTTGGACCAAGTTTTTGCTTGTTATGCTACCAAGGCAGTAGCAGCCTGGGGATACTAAGGATCACAGGTGATATGAGAAAGGAGTAAACTGCGACGAATTAGGAAGGGGCAGTATCATTAGGGTTTATTAAGGAAGATTTCCTGGAAAAATTAAATTGTAATCAGAGATGTCAATCCAGCCCGAGGCAGTTAACAAAACCTGTTATCTTGGAGAACAGAGGGGAAGGGCTTTAGTGACAGGCAAAACGTTTTTCTATTCCCTCCAGATAGATGAGGCTAAGATCAGAAAGGGTTAGATCATGGAGCTGCAGACCACAGAACCACCTGGGGAGTTTGTCTCATGTAATGCGAAGCCATTTAGAGCATTGTAACTGCACAGCACACAGGTGTATCGGCCATATGTAAAAGGTTCTTGCCCTAACTAGAGAGTTGAAAATAAGCCTACTAGGCATCGCACAAGTTATCGATCAGATTAATATGTGGTCCAGAAATGTGGTTTAGACTTGATGTGCATAAAAAACAAAAAGGATATCATAAAGGTTTGTGACGTGAAGCGATTGTTGTACGTAATATTCATTCAGGGACTATAACCTATAGAATAGCTTTGGGGAGGGAACGCCTTCTTTTTCAAAGTAGGCAAAGAGGGGTGAAAAGAATCTTACCTCCTGAAATTATTTCTCCCCGAAAGGATATTGAGTATTTGATCGGTCACATGCTAGTGGGGCTCAT